TCCCTTTACGACCAGCAAAGAAAATCCAGAGACGACCAGCCGATAAAAGACGTTGTAGATGGGGAGGCCTATGTTCCTTGGATCTCCAAGACGAATATAGACCAGACCAGGAGCTCCGTATTCTTCAGACAAAATCTTCAGATTCTAGAGCTCCGTAAATCTGGAGCAAGTCGTCTTGAGCTGCAAACAAAAGTACAATTAAGTTGCTTAATACAAAATCAATCAATAAGATTAAAGGAGAGTAAGCAGGGTTCTCAAATAGATTTTTTACGAGAGAAAAGGGTTACTCACAGAAACGAACAGCTATCTCTTGTTCTAACGCAGTCTCCAGCTGCAGCAGTGGCGATGGTGTCTGGTGCGTAAACTGTGACGGCGTTGGTAGCTCTGTCTCCGGAGAATTTGGAGATGCTACAAAAATAAAAGGAAAGATAAGTTGTGCGTTACAAACAAAATAAAACTAGTTTGACACAAATAAAACAGCAATGCAGCCTTTTCTTATGACTTAAGAAAATAAAAGTCAAATACTTACGGAAAAATGAAGATGGCAACTGTGAGTGTGTTCCAGGGAACGAGGGCCCAGCTTCCGTAAGGTCAGTGGTTGACACCATTGTCCCACTCCCACTTACTGGCACTTCCTCTGTACCTGGCCGCATGCGTTTCCCATCTCGCGACGTCTCCAGCGACAGCTTGCGTTTACGAGTCTGTAAATTAAAAGTTATTTAATAAATCAACACCAACAACAATTTTTATAGAGGTTTTACCATTTTATCTATGCGGACTGTTTCGCTAAGATATTAACTGCTATGAGGACAAGGTAATCTAATGAGTGTGACTTACATTTGAGTCATCGGCCTCTACATCGTCTTCATCACCACTTAACACATACTCGGGCCCCAACCTCTCAAAACAACTGGCAACTGTAACAATACACACATGTATAAGATTTTTTAACGTAGTAAACATTTCAATTTGCTGTATTTAAGAAATTGTTAGACACTTACTTTGCGCTTCCAGGTTGGCATTTATTCTTTGATACTCCTCAATACTAAAATCTTCCGAGGCGTTCTTCAACTTTGTGACCACGAACGCCATCAAGTTAATTGTCGATGCCTACAATAATAAATAAAATAAATCATATCGCTTCAAACGGCACAGTCAGCTTGAAAGTTGTAAATTTTGATAACTTACATTGGGATCACAACCTGCAGCCTCCGCTAATTCTGTCTGCGCTGCGGCGAAGTCTTCTCGCCGCTCCCTCTCGTACTGCGCATTCCTTGCGCGTCTTTCTTCCTGTAAACAAAGTACAAAGTAATATATATTATTCATTCACAATCATACTGTATGCTAAATTTTGCTTGTAACATATGGTGTGTACGAACCAAGGTGAGAGGGACGCGGTTTGCACCGCTCGGCCTGCCACGCCTTGGCCTGGATGTTCCGGAGCCCGTTGATGTTGATGGCTCCGGTTGCTGACTCTGGCCCTATTTAACAGATACAATTTTATTGGTTAAGACACATTACATATTTCATACAAAACTTTGTTTTTACAACAAAAACTAGACTTACTTTCTGGGAATTTTTATCGACATTTACTGGTTCCATTTTTACCGTAAAAGTAATTCGATTTGAATGTAATGTTATTCGTAATAGATCACGTTGCAGTTGCACTGGCGACAAGTTGCTTGCCAACTATGTACTGAGTGCAAAATTCGTGCTGCCTGCGCGTACGCAGGGGTTGTGGGCGGTTCAAAATAGAGTGGGGGTAATTCACTGTGCGGGTCTGTGATTGGACGAAACGTTTACATTGTTTTTCATGAATCAGAACACAACAAGGAATTTGATTATCTATGGATTTACGTTTAAAGCAAACTTGAAGACTCGCTCTGAAATTATTAGAAATGTTTTATAAAATTAAAAAATATATTATGAGTTTTATTCGTGACATTGCTGTTTACGGTTATCGTAAAAAAGGTAATTTATTGAGAAAGAGTCGTCTTCAATGATAGCGCATAAAAGAAACAATAGATGAACATGTATTAACCCATAAAGAATGGCATTACTTAAACAAAAAAAGAATACCAAATCAGTATCGTTTATTTTTACTTTGTTTGCTTCCTTTTAATTGTCTTTGCCAGTGTAATTTACATAAAGGAGGCAAAATCTGTACAAAATAAATAAACCTATATGTGGTTTTAACAAAGAGCAGAAATATTTTTTTATTAGCCCCTTTACTACCTTGAAAAAAAAGTATAAGACCATTGAGCTCAATCTTTCATTTGTCTTGATTTGCATTCGTCAAAATCTTTAACGTTTTTCTCTAAGAAGCAGTCAAAACTAAGATAAAAAAACACAATTGAATTGAACAGTTCCCACAAGATGCACCCAAAAGCAATCTTATATTGCTACTTATAACACTTATTTTCTTCTTTTATTGTTAGCGCACCGTATGATCTAACTAAAATTATAAATGCGAAAGTTGAGATGTTTAGATTTTGTGACTCAATCACGTCAAAATGGCCGTATGGATCTGGATGATATTTGACACATGCATATGATACACTAAGAAATAGAATACTGGCTACTTTTTATCAACATACCACGCGGGCGAATCTTGTTATAAACTACTTCGCCTTATTCTTACATTTGCTACGCCGTAGCAATATTGCTACGACATTCCGTAATACTACTTGATTCATGCTTAAAGTGGGATTTTTTACTTTGTTAATTTATTTTTAAGGTAGACTAAATGCCATATGCATTCCTTGCCAGTCAAACCATTGGGTGATGTAGAGTATAATTTAATAGAATGTAAATGTTAAAATTTTATACTATTATCTTACTAACTTTTATCACTAAGATGACATAATAACAACGGATATTCCTTTCAGATTCTCAGATACTTCCGTAGTTGTACGGATTATTCTACCAGAACAATGCGCACCGTCATTAAAATAGTTTAAAAGAAATCGGGCTGTCTAATCCCGGTCTCGAAAACTACAATTATTAAGAAAGGCGTCAATAATTGTTTATTGTTCCAAAATAAAGAACAACACAAAGAGTAAGCACAACAAGTATAAAAACTCGAAAGATTTATATTTATTACTTATACTATAAATTATAATTCATACCTTACTAGGAATGCTCTCAATTAGGTTAAGAACCAGGTATAGAATTTGTATAGCTCAGTAATTCACGAACTGTTAAAAATTTAGGTAAAAGGTTATAAAATTTGGTTCTAACATGCACCGTTAACTGTATGACTAATGTGGCATCGATAGTTTGTGAATTGTTAAAATTTACCTATATAATATATATATATACTTGAAAAACATAAAAGTCAAATATTTCTTTAGCTATTAATTATTAATATCTGATGATCTATTTATAAAAAACCTCAGATGTGAACGGAGATCACATTATGTAACACCCAAAAGTGGCAAGCTGGTATGAACCAGGCCATGTGTTATTTAAAAAAATAATTATAAGTTAAACGTTCAAAGAACCTTTTTTATGAAATAAAAAAAAAGAACAAAAGAGTAGGTGTAAGAGCCTAGAGTGAGAGATAAGACAATACAATAGAAACTTCTAATTGTTTCTGCGAACTATTTTAATAAACGCGGGAGTGATTAGGTTGAATATGTTTTGTTAATGAAAGTGTAATAAGTACCTGAGTGAGTTGTAATAACTGGCCCTGTTGGATTCTTGGAATGTTGCTATCAATTATTGTGAAATTATAAGTGGAAGTATATAGGTAGAAGTGACTAAAGAAAATCATTATGTTTTAATCAAGGTTTGATCGAGATTGGTAGTGTCTTCAAATTCATATTTGTCTAAGAAGCGATGACGAAAACATAACTATTCACCATTTCGGTTGTCTACAATTAGTCACAATCTTACGCGCCGTACCCTCGAATATCCAGCAGCACTGTATCCGAGGGGGTGAAACCATTAGTAAACAACAAAATAAGTGTCTACTAAAATAACAGAATTAAGAAAAAACTTAAGCTACACCAAAAAACTTAAGCTTGCTTAAATGCAGGGTGTAGAACAATTATAATTGTTTCCGAAGATGTAAATTCTGTTATTTGGGAAATGTATGTTTGATACTGTCGCCTACGCCGACACTATTGTGCTTTTTTGTACTAAAATATGCAATTTGATATTGGATAAACGTATATACAATATGCCGTGACTTTTGATAAAGGCAGTTAGTTCTTGTTCTCATGCCCATCGCTTCTAAATATGGCTACCTCATTTGACGGTTAGGTAATTTTGTTGAATCCAAAATGGTCGACAGTTACACAAATAAATTGAATTCTGATGTCGTTTCTGAAATTAGTCGTATTTGTTTGGGTAGCTTTTAGGAATTGTTATCAAAGCGAGTTTCTGCCAGAATGGTGGGTCAGGGTTGCACATGGCATCGTTATCAGCAAAAAACATTTAACAAAATTAAACTGCGGTGAACCATTTCCAGAATCCATTGATGAACCATTGTGTGTGGCTTTAGTTAGCGGGTTGTGGCATGAATCGAATACTTATACATATTAATATTAAAATTGTAGTCATCATTTTCGTCATTGTACATTCACATTCTTTGTTAGTAATATAGTCAATGCTTCAAACAGATTGCGAATTACTTTAGCGATTTTGTTTACATTGTCAACGCACTTGTACATTAGTCATAATAACAATTGGATCAAGTTTAAGTTACACAGTCAAATCGCTAAAAAGCTAATTCATTAAACAATTTTGCGATTCATCTAACATCTAGGCGATTATGGTAAGGTAGGAAAATAAAAGCAAATGTAAAATAAATTTGAAATAATTTAAATTTATTATTTTTCTTTTTTTACTCCACTCTGTACGACCACCGAAAGCAAAGCAACGGCGGCACTGACATCGTACTTTACTTCGGCCAGCCGATATTACCAATTTGTAGAGTAGTGCCACGCCTGTGGCATGGTAAAGGAGACTGTAGACCTGCTGGAGCTACGTAGTCTTCAGCCTAGTTGATCTACGGAATTCAAAGCCCCGTAGATCTGCCGCAAGTCATCTTGAGCTGTGTATAAAAACAGAATATCAGATAAGCTGTAGTTTAAAAACGACATAAATCATAAAAGTAGTGCTAGGTTTATTAATATATAATGGGCCAGCGTGCGGCAACAATCTCACCTGACGGTAAGCAATAATACAACCTACGATGGATAAAATAACCTATTTGCTGTGACATTACCTAGTCTAGTAGTAGTAGTAGTAAATTTGTAGGAGGAAGTAACTTCTATTGTTGAAATCAAGTACTGTTAAAGCGGTGGCGATAAATGTTTATCAAGTTTAATACTCACAGAAGAGTTCAGCTGCATCTTTCGACTCTAGCTGGACCGGTGGAGACTCTGATGGTGGTGTCACTGCGAAAAACAACCACAAATACAATATGTTACAAATGCAATCAAAACTTGCAAAGTAAGTCGCGAATAAACTGGCCATGACGCCTTTTTTATTATTATTAAAAGTAAATAAAATCAGTCGTTATGTGTGCGTTACGTTGTGTTCAAGTACAAAATCAATACTCACTGAAACTCAGACTGATGTCGTCTTCTGATACTGCCTCTAGCCGCAGTAGTGGTGACGGCGGTGTTACTGCAAAATGCACAGTTAAGATTTTAGTTACAAATGCAACCAACATATTTATATATATTTTGCCTGGTAGACCTCAAAGCAAATTTACGAGTAATACTTACAGAAAAGTAGAGCTATGTCGTGTTCAGACATCGTGTCTAGAGGTAGCAGCGGTGATGGTGCTGAAATCAGACAATGTCGTTATGCCAACGATAGTTATGATGGTTAAGGTGGAGGGAAGGTAAGTTAGGGAGGTTCAACTAACAAAAATGCATAATTTCGAATGATTGTTATTGTTAGTTAGCATACAGAGTGAATTCATAAATATGTTTAAAAAATATTTTTATGTAAATATGTAACCCCAAACGAACGCCAGCCTTCGCTCACTTTTGTGATGTTATCGGTGTACTACTAAAAAACTCAATAGTCACTGTAAACTTAGTCACTGTAGACTTAACTCTCCCTCTGTCGTTGTATGTACAGTGTCTGGGGAAGATGATGGTCCAGCGTCAGCAAGGTCAGTCGTCGATTCCCAATCGACTGACATTCGCTTCTCACCAGGCCGCAAACGCTCGTCTTCACCGAAAGTCTCTTCAGAGAGCTTGCGTTTTCTAGACTGTATATTGAAAAGTTGGAAAACTTTACGAACACCAAAATCAGGGATAGCGTTAAATGTTGACAAATCTTAATTATCTCTTACTTTAATTTATCTTTCAAAGCCTACACGTGAATAAAGTACATGTAACTTACATTAGGTTCATCATCTTCGCCGTCGCTCAAAATAAAATTAGGTCCAAGCTGCTCAAAACAATTGGCAACTGTAAGCAACACAGGTGTTTTAAATGTTTTCGTTTTAGAAATGTTAATACAATTTCAAAGATCACCATAATCATTTGTTAAGAAATTCACAAAACACTTACTTTGCACTTCCAGATTTTCATTAGTTTTCTTATATTCTTCTAAGTTTTGTGCTTCTTTGGCATTTGTCAATTTGTTTACGACAAATGCCATTAAGTGAGGCATTGATGTCTACAAAAAGAAATCAAAATAAGACAAAACACAACAACTAACTGTGCTTGAAACGTGAAAAAATATATTTTATAAACTTACATTGGGATCGCAACCTGCAGCCTCCGCTAATTCTGCCTGCGCTGCGGTGAAATCTTCTCGCCGCTCCCTCTCATACTGCGCGTTTCTTGCGCGTCTTTCTTCCTACAAACAAAGTACATTGTTAGTATAATAATGTTTAGTCAAAAACAGTATGTATGCCACATAATTTGCTTATATCAATTGGTAAATACGAACCAGGGTCAGAGGGATGCGTTTTGCACCGCTAGGCCGTCCACGCCTTGGTCTGGAGGCCTTGGAGCCTGTGGCCGCTTCTACTTCGGGATTCTGGCTCTCCAAAGATTATAAAATATAAAGAAAAGCTAAACTAAATACACAAGAATATAAATTTACAAGTTAATGAGACTTACTTTCTTTGAATTGTTTGACACCTTTACTGTTTCCATTTTTCCGAAAAATAACATGACGTTATCTATCCCAAACTAGCCGAAGTAGCACTGGTTAGCTTTCTAACTGAGTAATGAGTGCCAAATTTGTGCTGTCTGCGCGTACGCAGGTTTGTTCAAAATACAGTGGGGGTAAGAAAACCCGTTGTTATCTAACATTCATTGTTCTTGATGTTATCTTTGTTTTTAAAGAATTGGCTAACAAAAGAATTTTGGAATACTGGGGATTGCAACAAAGCAAAATGGTCGAGTTTAAAAAAAAAATGGAGATTTTAAAGAAGTTATTTTTATAAACATGACATCGACATAAGTAAAATTTATATAAGAGAGAGAGTTTTAGTGATGATATGATAAATCAATGCACTAGTTAAAGTATTCGAAGCTAATCAAAAAGATTTTACTTAATGACAGCAAATAAAAAGAAAGAATTAGCGATTACTAATAATTGACATTAGAATAAACTAACGATGTCATATAACGATAATGATATGAATCTATTAAATCAATACAAGTAGTATCTGAGTAGTAAATTAATTGTGTATGTTAATGACTTCGGCCCAGAGCTGGAGGAGGAACAGGGGGGTTTTTAGTCAGTAAGAGTCTGACATTTCCGCCTGCCCGACCTTGGGCGGGAGAAGCCATTATGATTTTCCCCTCACAAAAAAAAATGTAAATAAAACCAAGTATTTCTCTCTTTTAGTATCCAGTGTGAAAGATAAAAATCTTGTTATATGGGAATAGGATTATTGTAAAAATCTTGCATGATTGTGTTACCATCGTTAAAAGCACCCAATTTTTTGTCACATTTATATAAATTAACAGATTTAAGATCACATATCAAGGGAGTAATGAAATATCAAGGGAGTAAACTACATGATCATCGATATATTTGCAAAGCATTAGAATGTCTCAATTCTTCAAATTTAAACTCAATCTTAATATTAAGTAAACCATAAATATATATTTAGGTGATGGATGTTATAATAAAAGCAACGGACACATATTATATGGAATTAAAATATTATCAGAAATATTGTGTAAGACTGAGTTACTACCACCCTAAGGTATCAGGTGGTACAAGGTACTTCCATCGAGATTTTTAAAAATTCAATTTTAGCACGGAGTCTGGCTCTGTATCCGTTATGAGGTAATAAACCCTCCTAAGCATAGCTGAGGTCCTTATTAAAGTGTTTCTTCATTAACATTTGTTTTTTAGTTTTAAACTTATTCGAAATTATGAGAATTTCGAATGCCTTGAATGGATTACAAAGACAGCGATAATTCTTTTATTGTAGACCAATTAAGCGTCATAATACTTTGTCACAAAAATAAATCTTCTTGTTTAAACATATTTTATTATTAGTCAATAGAAATAAGTAGACAGTTACCTACTTTGTGGTAAGTTTGCGTCTCACAATGCAGAATGCAGACCCACTCTTTACCACAGAAATTGTATGTATATGTGTATACAAATCTTTAATAAAATACCCCAAACTATCAATGAACTTATATTAAGATTGTTTAAAGTATTTTGACTTTAAACAATCTTAATATAGCATTTTAATAACTTTTATTTAATTTTTTATCTTGTAATTTTGTAAAAATGGATTAGATAAATGTAAATTAACTAAAAATCGTGGGTTACTCACGTGTGTATATTGAGAAAAGCAGCTTGCGTGGACGCGGCGACGTCGCCGTGTCCGCGCACGCTGCTCATGAGGAAGACCCCTCTATGGTTCGAAACTAGTAGAGCTCTTCTCAATATACACACGTGAGTAACCCAAGATTTTTAGTTAATTTAGTATGTCTCACGATAGTTATTATAAAAACATAGATAAATGTACAAAAGGAATAAGTATATGATAAACATTGTAAATTGTGTGCGCATCGTGGTGACGTCGAGGACCTTTTCTCATTTAATCCATGTCTACTACAAATACAAAGTGAAATAACAAAATGTGAACAAATTTTTGAGTATTTTATTTTGCCTCACCCTTTAAAAACTATAACTGAACTAAAAAAAAAAAACAAATATAGAAAATTAAACCCTTATTAATATTTACCAGAAGCTACGCCATTATCAATCTGTTCATTAAAAACTATCTAATAATTCTTTCACACACGAACGGTGCGAAAAAATTGGTTAATGTTTAAGTTCAGTTATAAAATCTAAATTTGTGATATCAATGTCAGTTTTCAAGTATAAGTCTTATTTTATTCTTCTTAAACCTTTCCATTTTGTTTTCCTACTATTTAATTTTATGTTCCGTAGATACTCGATACTAATGTAAAAATAGTTAATTTATTTACATATTATGTGTCATGGTTGCTCGAAGGTAAAATGGAACGTGACTCATTGTGCGGGTCTGGTTATTCTAACATGGGACAACACATTTTATGACCAATCGTTTACGATCATTTATAGATCAGGCCCTAAATATGAGCAAAGAAACAATACTAACTTTTGTTTACTTACAATATGGCGGTAAAAGAGTTATTGTAATACGAAATTTGCAAACTAATACCGTACGATTCTATCTTAAAGAAACTAGAACAATATACACCAGCAATAAAATATAGAAGGGGCTTCCGAATCCTGGTCAAAAATATACAGTTCTTAAGAAAGGCGGCAGACATCAAGAAGTTTTGGTACAAATTTGTATGAATACCATAAAATGTATTTTTTTTTTTATTTTCGCGAAATACGGTGGAATTATGGCTTCGCTGATTTGACAGTGAGGGGAGTTTAGAAACGATGCCACGTACCAAACTCACACAGAAACGTGTGCAGCGTATGGTTTCGGTATATGAGCGGCATCCTTACACTTCAACTTGCCTATTTCGACTGCACAGCACAAACTATTAGAAATGGTCTACGGAGTGCCGGTAAAAGGAATAGGAAACCAGCGAAAAAAATTATCCTAACTGAAGCTCATAAAGCAGCTCGTGTCCCATTGTTAACTATACATACTACTTATACTGTGATTTAAAAAAATATATTTTCCTTTTCGGGTTTCATCAGAAAACCGGGAAATACATTTTTCATTATAACAAATCTTCTATACTTATAATAAATCCGTAGAGAGGTCAATTCTGTACATTAAATATATTTTCAAAATAACTACCAGGGGGTGATAACTAATCGATAATGATGCCAAAAATACAATCAGTAAAATTTTTGTATTCGATATTTTCATATTACTATTCTTATCTAGTCTTATCACAAAGTTGTCAGTGACATGTCTGATGCATATCTATTGCAAGACGACCTGCACAGATTTGAGATTTATTGCAAACTTAATAAACTCCAATTAAATGTCTCTAAGTGTTTCGTCCTAACATTCTCACGACGTACGTCTTTGATCAATTTTAATTATACCATCAACTCTGAAGTGATTATCAGGCTGAATAGCATTAGCGATTTAGGGGTGATCGTAGACAACAAGCTTCTGTTTGATCAACATGTGAATAGTATGGTAACAAAGGCATCCAAAGCTCTGGGATTTATACTACGCACTACGGCCTATTTCCGATCTCTTAAACCGGTCAAAATCCTGTATTGCTCTTTCGTACGTAGCCACGTAGAATACGCATCACAGGTTTGGAACCCGCAATATGAGGTATATAAGTCCCGTATTGAGGGCGTCCAAAGAAAATTTCTTCGTTACCTTGACTATAGAGCACAGCAATATTCAGTTGACTATAACCACCGCTGTAAACGGTACCACTTCCTTCCTCTGGACATGAGGCGTCTTATTGGAGACATAACTATGCTTATGCGTATCGCAAATGGCCATATTGATTGTCCTGATCTTGTTGCAAAATTAGCATTGCGCACAAACCTAATGGGATTACGTCAGCGACCAATATTAAGTGTACCTTTCACATCGACTAACTATATGAGAAATGTCTTTTCAATAAGGAGTGCACTTGATTTTAATAGACGGTGTAAGGAATTTGATATCGACTTATTTTGCACCAGTGTAGCATCCTTGCGACATCAAATCGCACAAAACTTTTTCGATGGTTAACTTCTTTTTCTAATTATTCTTGTAACAATTAATATTTCTTTTTTTTTAGTAATTCTCTGTAAGTAAGTCTTTTGTACTCTTTTTTATGCTTTTTTGTTTTTTTTCTTTTTATTTATATGTGGAGGCTTGTAATTAGCAATTTGTCAATATTATACTTTAAAAAATCATTTTCTATGTATTAGTCTGTAAGCCTTCTATAAAATAAATAAATAAATAAATATTATCTAGGTTTTTTACTTACTTAAGGAACTTTCTTACTTACTTTAACATTAATTAGGTTGCTATAGTAAGATAACCAATATTTTTTATTATATATAATAGGCTAACGCTTGACTACAATCGCACCTGATAGAAAATGTCGATGAGGTCTACGATGTTACGCGTTTGCCTACTATTGGTGTATTGTATAGAAATATAAAAATGACTTTTTATCATAAAATTAAGTTTATCTTACTATGCATTTTTTATTACCAAAAACTATAGTCAGATAAATTTAATTTTTGATTAAGTGATATTGTTAAAGTAGGCTTACTCTAATTCGTAACTTTCATAACCTACTGTTTTTTCTACTACACGTGTTAGTAGTAAAATCTTATTGTTTGAAGACAAATGTTTATTTCTTTTCATTTCTGCTGAAATGAAACGTGATTGGTCAACTTTAAAAAAAAGGGCGGGATCACTACTGACTCAGTAGAACTAGACTTATAAGAAAAAATAATGATAACTCCTTATTATGTCTAGAAACTATTTCAATAAATGCAGGATCGAACGAAAAATTTGCAAATAAATGAAGACTTTTGATATCTATGATTCCAAATTAACTAAGAAAAAATAATAATAGGAACTAGAATGAACGGAACTGAACTTGCCCTGTTAGAATCTTGGAAAGTCGCTATCGAATGGTTATGACACTAGGTACATATATTTAAGTGCCTATATCAAATGAATATCAAATCAAATCAAATCAAATCAAAATCATTTATTCCAACTAAACCATAAATAGGTACTTTTGAAACGTCAAAATAGTCTGTCAGTCTGTTCGTCAGTGAAGCTAGGTGCTCGTTCCAAATTGTAGTTTCGAATGGAGAAGAACGAGCAAGAAACTCCATCGTTACTCTTTTAAAAAAAATATTTGTTTTACAATTCACCAATAACACATTTTATACATTGCTGTACCCCTATGTGAGAACAATGCAGAGACAAGTTGTTAATAAAAAGGAACAAATGATGGTCTATCTAATCTATCATTAAAATTTTAATCCTTTGTTGTCTCGAACATGGCGCTCACATATGCGTACTCACAATCCAAAAGAATGCTTCTATATAAACTCATTCAAGGTTTCATTAATTTTGAGAATTTTAATAACTACTGCATACACATGCTGCCAGGCATTCTTGTCCTCAATATAATCTGAAAGTTTGTAGTATGCCTGTCTACATAATTCGCGTTTAATATAAGTTTTAAATTTTCGTTCATTAAGATTTAATACACTTCTTGGAATTTTATTGTAACAATTTACACAGAACCCCATAAAGGATTTCTGTACTTTGGACAGACGGAATCGTGGCACAGCCAGCCTATCTTTGCCTCTAAAATTAAAATTATGTCTATCGCTTCTTTTTTCAAATAATTGCAAATTTTTCCTTACGTATATAATGTTTTCATATATAAACTGACAAGGTACCGTTAGGATATTTATCGTTTTAAATAGTTCCCTCAGAGATTCACGAGGGGGCAAATTATATATCGCTCGGATAGGCCGCTTTTGCAAAATAAATATTGAATCTACTTCCGCAGCTCGACCCCACAGCAAAATGCCGTACGATATAATGCTGTGAAAATAGCTAAAATAAACAAGCCTTGCTGTGTTCTGTCTAATCTGTCTAACTGCAAAAACAGCTGAGCTCAGTCTTCCCGAAAGCGTCTTTATGTGGGAACTACTTTAATAATGGATGAACACTTTGATCCTTAGTATTTTTTTACAATTCAGTGGTTGACCTACATATAAGTTTGACTTGCTAAGTAATAATTATATATTTTTTTCTAGTTTCAGTTTGACAATGTTTATTATCTAATTCTTTAAAAATTTAGTCGTTTTCAATATATTTAACAGATTTCTATTAATTATATGGAAAAAAAGCTTAAAATAAAAATAGCAAAATATTTTCAAATTGTACATTTATTAATCATTTTTTTCATCGACTTCAACTGCACCATCTACGCATTCATTCCATCGGCTGCACGTCTAGCAAAGGAAGTCCAGAGCTGAACAGCCGATAAAAGGCGATGAAGATGCGGTGACCACTTTTTCCTGGATCTTCAAGACGAACATGTACCAGACGGAGCTCCATATTCTTCAGATTATATCTTCAGATTCTAGGGCTCCGTAAATCTGGAGTAAGTCGTCTTGAGCTGCGAACAAAAGTACAATTAAGTTGCTAAATTGTAAAATCAATCAATACGATAAGGCGAGAGTAAGCAGAGTTCTCCAATAGACTTCTACAAGAGGGACAGTTACTCACAGAAACGCAGAGCTATTTCTTGTTCTAACGCCGTCTCCAGCTGCAGCAGTGGCGATTGTGTATGGTGCGCAAACTGTGACGGCGTTGGTAGCTCTGACTCCGGAGAATTTGGAGATGCTATAAGAATAAAAAAAAAAAAGTTGTGGGTTACAAACAAAATAAAAATAGTTTGACACGAATAAAATAGGCTTGCAGTCTTTTTTTATTACTTAAGCAAATAAAAGTCAAATACTTACGGAAAAATGAAGATGGCAACAGTGAGTGTGTTCCAGGAAAGGAGGGCCCAGCCTCCGCAAGGTCAGTGATCGACACCATTGGCCCACTCCCACTCACTGGCACTTGCTCTGTACCTGGCCGCATGCGTTTCTCGTCTCGCGACGTCTCCTGCGATAGCTTCCGTTTACGAGTCTGTAAATTAAAAGTTATTTAATATATCAACACCAACGACAATTTCTATAGAGGTTTTACCATTTTATCTATGCGGATTGTTTCACTAAGATATTAACTGCTATGAGGACAAGGTGATCAAATGAGTGTGACTTACATTTGAGTCATCGGGCTCTACATCGTCTTCATCACCACTTAACACATACTCGGGCCCCAACCTCTCGAAACAACTGGCAACTGTAACAATACACACATGTATAAGATTTTTTAACGTAGTAAACATTTTAATTTGCTGTATTTAAGAAATTGTTTGACACTTACTTTGAGCTTCCAGGTTGGCATTTATTCTTTGATATTCCTCGATGCTCAAATCTTCCGAGGCGTTCTTCAACTTGTTGAAGTTGTGACCACGAACGCCATCAAGTTAATCGTCGATGCCTACAATAATAAATAAAATAAGTCATAACGCTTCAAACAATACAGTCAGATTGAAAGTTGTAAATTTTGATAACTTACATTGGGATCGCAACCTGCAGCCTCCGCTAATTCTGTCTGCGCTGCGGCGAAGTCTTCTCGCCGCTCCCTTTCGTACTGCGCATTCCTTGCGCGTCTTTCTTCCTGCAAACAAAGTACAAAGTAATATATATATTATTCAGTCACAATCATACAGTATGCTAAATTTTGCTTGTAGCATAAGGTTTGTACTAACCAAGGTGAGAGGGACACGGTTTGCACCGCTTGGCCTGCCGCGCCTTGGCCTGGATGTTACGGAGCCTGTGGATGTTGATGGCTCCGGTTGCTGACTCTGGCCCTATTTAACAGATACAATTTTATTGGTTTAGACACATTACATATTTCACACAAAATCTTGTGTTTACAAAAAAACTAGACTTACTTTCTGGGAAGTTTTTGACACCTTTTCTGATTCCATTTTCAAATATAATTAAATTAAACTATTGTGTTATACGTAGCAAAACCCGTTGCAATTGCACTGGCGACTAGTTGCTTGCCAACTGTGTACTGAGTGCAAAATTCGTGCTGCCTGCGCCTACGCAGGGGTTGCAGGCGGTATAACATGGAGTGGGGGTAAGTCACCGTTACGGGTTTGTGGTTAGACAAAACGTTTACATTGTCTTTCATGAATTAGAACACAACAAAGAATTTGGTAATCTATGGATTACGTTTAAAGCAAAATTGAAGACTCACTGAAATAATTAGAAAAGTTTTAAAAAATCAAAAATATATTATGAGTTTTATTGGTGACATTCCTGTTTTCGGTTCTCATAAAAAAGCTTGTTTATTGAGAAAGATTTGCCTTCTATAATACGAAATAAAAAGAAACACATTTGCTTACCCACACAGTATGGCATTTGATAATAAAACAATTCAAACACGTATTAATGATATTTAAAATGTAATATATAAAAGAGAGTACCAAATCAGTGTTATTTATTACTATTTTTAATTCCTTTCAATTAACTTGCCCAGTATATTTACTTAAAGGGAGTAAAACCAGTACATACACGTGTAAAAATAATATGTGGCTTTAACAAAGAGGGCAATGAATTTTTAAATATGCTCTTTAATATCTAAAAAGTATAAGACCATTGAGCTAAATCTTTCATTGGTCGTCTCTATAAAGCCGATCAGTCGAAAGCTAGATTGAAACCACAATGGTAACTTCCAATAGTTTTTGTGAACTTTCAAAATGACTGGTGTTAACTATTATAGGATTGCTATTATGTTTTGTTTCCATAATATTACAAAAGAACACCTTATTTTATTTATTTTATATATATTTTATTGCACACATACACCAAGTAGCAATACATTGGATACTATGACCGAATTTTGTGATTACAATGGGCGGTCTTATCACACAAGGTGATTTCTTTCAGGCAACCTTTAAATGGAAATGTATAAAATAAATTTGGCCATGGGTAGTGTAGTGTACGGTTAAAACAAGGACTACATAAAGAAGATATAGTATAAAGATAAAGAAATGCTTTAGCCTGTTTTAACAGATAGGCTAAAACGATTAATTACCTCAGTAAAGTCGACTCTGTGGGTGGTTTGAATTGAACGATACCCACAAGATACACCCAAAAGCAATCGTATATTGCTACTTATAATACCTTTTTTCGTTTTTTAGCACACCGTATTATTTACTGATATTACAAATCCGAAAGGTACGATGTTTGGATTTTGTAACTCAATCATGCTAAAATGTCTGCATGGATCTGGATGCAATTTGGCACAGGCATATGAAACACTAAGAAATAGAATATAGGCTACTTTTTACCAACATACGGCGGAAGCTAGTTATAAACTAATACGCCATACTCGTATGTTGGCTACGCCGTAGCAATAGTGCTACGACACACCGTATACTACTTGATTGATACTTGATTGACTTTGTGTATTTATTTAATTATTTTTAAGGTGGACTAAATGCCACATGCATTCTCTGCCAGTCGAACCTTTGGTTGATGTAGAGTATACTTTAATGAAATATAAATGTTAAAATTTTCATATTACCTCCTTATGCTAATCACTATATCACTAAGATGATATAAAAATAACGGATATTCCTTCCTACCAGAACAATGTGCACGGTCAATAAAATAGTTTAAAAGAAACGGGACTGTCTAATCCCGGTCCCTTTACTTAAAATTCTTTAGAGAGGCTTCAATTATTGTTTGTTGTTCTACAATAAAGGACAAAACAAAGGCTAAGCAAAATATAAAGAACTTTTCGAAAGATTTATATTTATTATTCACACTCTAAATTATAATTGATATCTGACTCGAAATGATCACACTAGGTAAAGAAAGTCACAATGAATTATAACATAATGTCGGCGGTAGGTATAAATTGTATACCGCTCAGTAATACATTCACGAACTGTAAAAGCAAAAATTAAAGATTTTCAAAAATAAATTCATCACTTTCATAACATACAGTTTTATCATGCACCGTTGACTGCATGTTATTTTTTATTTTTGCAATTAAGTAACTATATTAATAGCTTATGATCTATTTATGAAACCTCACATGTAACAGGAGATTACATAAGGTAACACCTGTTTACCCAAAAGTAGCAAGGCTGGTATGAACTAGGCCATGTGGTATTTAAACAAATATAAGTAAGTTAAACGTTCAAAGAACCTTTTATATGAAATAATAAAAGAGAGATAAGACAAGCCAAAAGAAATTTCTAATTTTTTCTGGGAAATGTTTGAGTAAACGCTGGAGTAATTACGATGAACATGCCTTATATACATATATATATATTCGTAGAAGTGACTAAAGACAAATAATATTTTTAAAATATAGTGATGCAACCAAGGTTGGTAGTATCATGAATTTCATATTTGTCTTAGAGGCGGTGATGAATACATCTGAAAGGCATTTACCATTTCGATTGTCTACGAAACATAAATACATCAAAATATGTCCTAGTTTGATACCAGGATCTTGATTCCATTGCTTAGTCACAAGCTTACGCGCCGTACCCTCGAATATCAGCAGCACTGTTTCCGTGCGGGTGAAGCCACAGGTGAAAAAATATGGATTAATTTAAGCTATAATTGCTTAAATGTAGGGTATTTAAATTCTGTTATTTGAGAAATGTATGTATGATATTGATATTGTCGCCGACACTATTGAGCTTTTCTGAAGCATAATATGTGAAGATCTAGGGAGCATTGGAATGCGTATATCTAGTCTGAAGAATACGTAGCTCTAGCAGGTCTACAGTCTCCTTCCACCAGGCTAAAGACGTAGAACTTCTATTCGACAGCTTGTTTATATCGGCTGGCTGAAGTAAAGCACAATGACAATGCCGATGCTTTGCTTTCGATAGTCGTGCAGAGTTGAGTTTAAAAAGAAAAATAATAAATTGACATAATTTTAAATTTATTTTACGCCACCAACGAACGCGAGCTTTCCCTCACTTTTATCTTACTATTGTGATGATATTGTGAACTAAATAGAACCAATACTCACTGTAAACTAAACTCAACTCCATCTTTGTCGTCGGTTGTAGTGTATCTGGGGACTATGATGGTCCAGCGTCAGCAAGGTCAGCGGCCGAGGCCCATCGACTGCCATTCGCGAAAAGCTAATACCAGGCCAGGCCGCAAACGCTTGTCGTCACTGAAACTTTTTTTCTGAGAGCTTGCGTTTTATAGACTGTACATTGAAAAGCATTTTTTGGCATTTGTTAATTTGGTTATGACAAATCGCGTACGGTTGTTTAAAATACAGTGGGGGTAAGAAAACCCGTTTTTGTCTAGCATTCAAAGAATTTTGGAATACAGGAGTTTGCAATAAAACAAAGTGGTCGAGTTATTCAATAAAAATAGGATTTTAAAAAGGAAGTTTTTTTTAGAAATTTTACATAGGCTTTTTGTAAAATTTATAAAAAGAAATATTTCCGAGTTTTAGTGGTGATATTATTATTTTATGGTATGATAAATCAAGTACAGTTAAAGTATTCGAAGCTTATTGTATTAGAAATACACTATTAAATGACACCAAATAAAAAGACACAATTAGTGATCACTAATTGACATTAGAATAAACTAATTATATCAACAAAGTTAACTCACTGGGTGCTAGCGTATCTATGGGCGTACCGCAGGGCTCAATATTAGGTCCTTTTCTATTTTTAGTTTATGTTAATGACATGCCCCATTTGTTCCAAAATGAACCGCATATGGTATTATTCGCTGATGACACTTCATTGATTTTTAAAATAAACAGACGAACAAACAAATATGACGAAGTTAATAATGCCTTAATGAAGGTTCAAAATTGGTTTACAATAAACAACTTATTACTAAATGATAAAAAGACTAAATGCATTAAATTTATTTTACCAAATGTTAAAAGTAACCTATCTGATGATATATTATTAAATGATCAGAAACTAGAATTTGTAAAAGAGACTACTTTCCTGGGGATCACTGTAGATGAGAAGTTGCAATGGGGGCCCCACATCAGGTCTCTAGCAGGACGATAGAGCTCTGCAGCTTATGCTGTCTGGAAGATCCGTCAGCTAACCGATGTAGGCACGGCAAGACTAGTGTAATTTAGCTACTTTCACAGCATCATGTCGTATGGAATTCTGTTGTGGGGACAGGCATCCGACGTTGAGTCTATCTTTATCTTGCAAAAGCGTGCCGTCAGAGCCATATATAACTTAGGTCGTCGCGAATCTCTCAGAGAAGAGTTTAAGGAGATCAACATTCTGACCGTACCGAGTCAATTTATTTATGAAAACATTATGTATGTTAGGAAGAACCTACACTTATTTGTAAAGGTATCTGACAAACATGATTATCATACTAGACATAGGAATAGATTGAGTCAGCCTTTATTTAGATTGGCAAAAGTGCATAAGTCATTTCTGGGTTTCTGTGTTAAATGTTATAATAAAATCCCAGTTGAAATTCAAAATCTAAATGAAAGCAAATTTAAATTATGTATAAAGAAACATTTATGTAAACTAGCATACTACAAACTAAATGATTATATACAAGATAAAAATGCTTGGAGGCTAGCTGGTCCTACTCCACAGGATGTTTAGAGGAATTTTTTATTTTAATTATTAAATTGTACACAATGTTGTTGATTTTTGATGAACTTCTAAGTTTTTGTAAATGTGAGTACCCTGTAACCTATTATAATTAAGTAAGTCTTGTAGAATATAGGTACTTGTGTCGGCTGGGAGCTTTCATGCTCTCTCAGAGGTCTCATTGGCGGTGGCACGGGCACTGGATCGCCCAATTCCCTATAATATGGTTGAGTTGGGTGGTGCTGGTGTACGTGTCATGTTCGTGAACGGGCGCCGCCAATTGGGACTGGTCATCTCCAGGCTGTCTAAATATGTTGTCCTTGAGGTTCACTTCTTTTTCGTACTTTTTG